TGTTTGTTTGTTTGTTTGTTTGTTTGTTTGTTTGTTTGTTTGTTTGTGTGTGTGTGTTTGTTTGTTTGTTTGTTTGTTTTGTTTTGTTTTGTTTGTTTTGTTTGTTTTGTTTGTTTTGTTTTGTTTTGTTTTGTTTTGTTGTGTTTTGTTGTGTTTTGTTGTGTTTTGTTTTGTTTTGTTTTGTTTGTTTGTTTGTTTGTTTGTTTGTTTGTTTTGCTTGTTTTGTTTGTTTGTTTTGTTTTGTTTGTTTGTTTGTTTGTTTGTTTTTCCCGAATGCGTAGCGAAGGCTTCCCGTTTATAGTTGGGGGTCTGGGGGTTGGAGCTGTGTTTGCATGGCTTGCGTCGTCTCGTCGTCTCTCGTCGTCTCTCGTCGTCTCTCGTCGTCTCTCGTCGTTTGTCGTCGTCTGTCGTCGTCTGTCGTCGTTTGTCGTCGTCGTTGCGTCTCAAATTCGCTGCCATTGGGGGAATCTTTTGCAAGTGACTTTGCATGGATGTGTCACGTGTCAGTTTGCGCCGCTATTCCATTGTGATTTGCATGACAATGACATGTCGCGCAAGGAACGTGATGCATTTCGCTGCACAGGCGCAGCATTTTTGCGAGATCCGCAGATTGCTGCGCAGTTCCATTGGGATTAGCGTTTGGAGAGTCGTGTTTTTGGGGTGTTGGATGTGGCCGTGCCATTGGGATTTGCGTTTCAGGGTGTGGCATCGAAGCTCGGTTTTCGTGACAAGTCTCAGCTGAAATGGCGACTTTGGTGGATGGGAGTGTGCTCAGAACGGGTCGAAATCATTCCAAACGTATGGTGTGGTGCAAATTTTGTTGAAGCTCACATGAGATGATATTGTCACTTTTCGTGGCAGGCGCAGGACTTTGTGCGGGTTTTGAGGCGTGGAAGTGCGATTCTCGTGGGAGGCGCAGGGAATCGTGAGGTTGCGAGGTGTGACGGAGGTGAGAACTGGCGACTTTGTAGTACAACTTTAGTACGCGGAGCAATCTGTGGAGGTGGAAGCTGAGAACTGGCGACGTTGTAGTACAACTTTAGTACGCGGAGTATCTGGGGAGCTGGAAGAGTGTCCCACAAGAGTGTCCCGCAACAGTGTCGCACTAGAGTGTCTCACAAGAGTGTCCCTTAAGAGTGTCCTACAGGAGTATCCCACAAGAGTGTCCTACAAGAGTGTCCCACAAGAGTGTCCCACAAGAGTGTCCCACAAGAGTGTCCTACAAGACTGTCCCACAAGAGTGTCCTACCAGAGTGTCCAACAAGAGTGTCCCACAAGAGTGTCCCACAAGAGTGTCCCACAAGAGTGTCCCACAAGAGTGTCCTACAAGAGTGTCCCACAAGAGTGACCGACAAGAGTTTCCTACCAGAGTGTCCCACAAGAGTGCCCTACGAGAGTGTCCCACAAGAGTGTCCCATAAGAGTGTCCCACAAGAGTGTCCTACAAGAGTGTCCCACAAGAGTGTCCCATAAGAGCGTCCCACAAGAGTGTCCTACAAGAGTGTCCCAAATGACCCACAAGAGTGTCCTACAAGAGTGTCTCACAAGAGTGTCCCAGAAGAGTGACCCACAAGAGTGTCCTACAAGAGCGCCCCGTAAGAGAGACCCACAAGAGTGTCCTACAAGAGTGTCCCAGAAGAGTGTGCCACAAGAGTGTCCTACAAGAGTGTCATTTGGACATATGTAATTTTTCGGACGTGTTTGCATTCGGGTTCGTGGGTTCCATCTTGTTTTAGTTCGTTTTTTTCTTGTTTTGTATTCTATGTTTTGTTTTTTTGGTTTGGTTTGGTTTGGTTTCGTTTGTTTGTTTGTTTGTTTTTTTGGTTTGGTTTGGTTTGTTTGTTGTTTTTTGTTTTGTTTGTTTTGTTTTGTTCTGTTTGTTTTGTTTTGTTTTTTCTTTGTTTTGTTTTGTTTTGGTTGGTTGGTTGGTTGGTTTGTTTGTTGGTTGGTTTGTTTGTTTATTTATTGTTTGTTTGCAAGGTTGAGGTTATTGAGGTTCAGCAGGGTAGCATCATGTATATAGATGTCAGGTACGAGTTGTTTGAATTTGTTTTATTTGTTTGTAGGTTCCTTCCACGTTAGGTAAGAATTACTTGTAGGTTCCATCCATCTTAGATGTTTTTGACATCTCACAGTTGTCTTCCAGTCTCAGTATGACCAGAATCTTGGGACCTGGCAGGCAGAACACATTTTCATCATTCGATCCACCGACGGCTTGTTCCTCCTTTTCTTTTCTGCCCGAATAAGATGGTTCAACAGAGAATCGCCATCGTTTCGCATCCGAGAACAAACAACTAGGAAGACACAAGTTGGACCTGGTGGAAAACAACGAGGTCCTTAGGCTAGACATGGGCAGACGCGAGAATTCGTCCGGCAGGGTTTGTAAACAGCTGACGTGGACGAACGTAAACTCCCTCTGTTGGTGGAATTCCTGCAGCTGGACACACCAGAACATCGCAACAGTACCGGTGCAGGAGCTTCTTCTCTAAGAAGATTGGCAGCAGTGTGTGACTGTATGAAGCCAGTGAAAGAAACAGTTGTTTCTGCGGCGTGGACACTTCCACACTTCACGCTCTCCCAGACACTCCATGGGACCATATTTTGGTTGATTTCAGGAATCAATCTAGTAGGTTGGTATATTAGGCTGTGGGTCTGTTCATGTTCGGTGAGAAAAACCCAGGGTGTTTTGCACCTGCCACGACCCACAACGACTTAATGGCAGTTTTATGGGTCCTATGGATCATTGTGGTGGTCAGTTCACATCAGCAGCGGCGAACTCGCCTCCTTCCGTTCATCCTCTCAGGTGGGGTGGTCGTGGATTCAGCTCGTGTTGAAGGCGTCGAAGATTGGGAGACGGAATGGTCTACAATGGGTGCTGGGTGAAGGCCATTGGTATTGGTATGGAGGATTTTCAGAGTGTGAGGGTGGATCCCTAGTTTCAGAGTTCATTTTTCTGCGGAAGACCTTTTCAGACGGTGTCAGAGGATATGTTAGCATTTGTTCAGCATTCCGGCTGCAAGATCAGGACGTCTAATATAGTCATCATGGGCGTTTGGGCTTTGGATCTAGGCCCAAGAGCTTGGCCTTGGAGCTCCGCATACACGACGGAGCACCGTGGTGAGGACCATAGGAGTTTCACCGGCCCACGGGTTTTCTTATACCTGCTAGCCTCCGACGAACACATCACAGTGAAGTGGAAAACCCCTTGTAAAGGAAACTAGGAAACTGGTCTTCCAAGGGCCTTCCGCTTCCCTGTTCGTGAGTCACTGTGTGTGAGGATCATGTGATATGATGTGTGATATGATGTGAAGGTATCAAAGGTCGAACAACCGAGCCCAAAGACAAATCATTGGGTGCTCATGTAATTCGGCGAAATCAAGAGTCACGCTATTTGGGTCTGTACCATGACCTGTAACAGTCAGTAAACAATTATACAGGAAACCTACGTTTCGTTTAGTTTCGTATTTAAATGGTTCGTTTCGTTTCGTGTTCGTTTTCTTTTTTGTTCGTTTCGTTTCGTTTCGTTTTATTTTTTGGGTGGGTTCGTTTCGTTTCTTTTTTTATTTTTCGATTCGGTTCGGTTCGTTTACCGTTTCATGTTTTTTCGGTTCGGTTCGATTCGTTTATCGTTTCCGCTGCCATATTTTTATTACAGTATCAGTATCAATATATAATCATCCTGTACCTTCCATTGATACATTGTCTTGCGTACCAAGTCCAAATGCGCTCGAACTGCAGAAAGCGCTCGATTTCAACAAAAAGACCCGAATCAAAAATAAGTGCTCGAGGCATACTGTAATGGTGCTACCTTATTTCACACTCCCTCTGGACGCCAGATCCCACTCATCCCTTTTCTGCCGCCCCTTCACTGCCAATGTCCATGCGCATCGTGCACAAGTTCGAAGGCAACATGCAAGGCCTGACGCTCAGCCAGCGTTCTTTGCGCTGCGGTTTGAGGGGCGGTACTTCGGCCCACTCGGCTCGGCTAATCCTTCCCACAAAGTCTTCGTCCGCCCAGGTCATGAAGGCGGTAATGTTTAGGAAGTGGCTAGCACTAGGGAAGTCAAGCAGAACAGATCGTAGGCCTAACCTAAGTTGACTGCAGCTGGGACTTTCTCGACCGAGGGTGAGTTCATGATTTGCTGCAAGTCCTGAAACATAAGTTCGGGCTAGCCACACCAAGTATGCAAACATAGGCAACGTTGGCCGAATTCTGTAGAGGTGGTAGCCGCTTTTTGCACAAATCCTCAAACTGTCCATCCGTGCCAGCCGTGCTGTGCCGATGCAGTCACGTCGCGGAGGCCTCGTGACGGCGCTGGGCTTCGACGTCTGGCCAGACACCCCCCTGGTGACGAAGGGTGCTGTGGCGCTGGCCGATCTCTGCCCCACGGTCCCGGTCGCTTGAGTTTGGTGCCAGGACCTTCACTTCATGGGGTTTAGGTTGGGTGATATGTCGGCGTTGTTTGTACAGTTTACCCGTCGCAGGTCGTCAAGCGGCAGAAGTGCCATGTTTGGAAAGAGGATTTGTTTTAGGCAGGATACCTTTAGCCTTGATCGACCACAGCTCCTAGTCCAAAGCCACTTGCGGATTGCTGGGTTAGTTTGGGAGAGCGTGCCACCATTAGCATCATTAGCCCTTTCTTGGATGGTCTCCCTCCGGTTGGTTTGTTGAGAGATTTAGCAGTGATAGTGCATGTTCTTGTTGTAGAAGCGGGGCATGTAACATCACAAGAATAAAGAATCAACATGTGTTTGGTCACGGTTCAGATCAAGGAAATCTGTGACAATCTGTGACAATTCCGGATAGCCATGCTTAGGCCTTTCGGGAGCTGGACCGAACTTCCAGAACGCTGCTTTTGGGCGCTCGCCACATGGACAAGAAGTGGGCGCTGCTCTGCATCGGCGTCATGCGGTTCATGTGTGTGACGGAGGCGCGGGAGTCAGGCTTCAAGAATGCGGCGCGTTCTGCTTGACATTTTTGTCCATGATGACCACTCATTGCACTGACCACCAACAAGAAATGCAAGCGTTTGCTCTGTGCTTTGCCCGACATTTTGGAGCTTAGGAGATGGGATGTTATCAGCTCACACCCTCTTTGAATTTTGGAGTGCCAAACTCCGGATCCCCAAGTCACGGATTCACTTTCCCTGAAGCAGGAGCGGTGGCGGGACCTTTTCGATGCCATTGGGTGGTCCGCTCGCAGCTGGGCCGGGACTTGTGCGTGGGAGGACCGCTGGTTGGTCTGGGCAGCAGTGAAAAACCTGGATGGACAGCCGCGGGCGTACCATCCTATTGGTCGTGGCCTGACCGACGCAGAGCTCCGGAACAAAGCCGGGAGCTTTCTCAAGAGCTGGGTCCATCACGTTGACCGCAACACGTGGATGGCGCTGCTGGATACGAGCGCCGCCAAATTTGCCAGCTACCAGGCCAGGATTTCCTAGAACATTTCTCAGTTTGTCGCATATCTATACCCAAGCCCACCTTATCCGTTGAGTTTTCCACTTCTTGGGGTCGCTCTCATGGGGAGTAAGATTTTTTCCACTAATTTCCATCAATTTCATCGTTGGAGGCCCGAGGTGGGAGAAGGCTTGAGCGAACTTGTCTCTCTCTCTCTCTCTTTTACACACTCTCTCTTACTTGAGTGCCTGCAGTTTATGACTCCAATCCAAGTGAACAAGCCGGCCAGGCATCGATGGATGCAGAGTGGCTGGACCTCCGCCACAATACCAAAATACTGGTCGGATGTGGCGCAAGATGTCCAGGAGCGAAGAAGTCTCTGACGCCGGATCAGCTCAGGCTGGTCCGTGATTGTTTGCATTGTGTCATGCCCGGGCCAAGTGTTGATTTGATCCAGTGATTGACAACTGTCTTAATGGGATCTGAAGGGGCTTATGTTTGGGGCACAGTACAAGGAGCGATTGGGTCAGTGACCTAAGACACCCGGCCATCTCAATGCAAATCCCGTTGCGTTGCATCTGCGGGCCTTTGGGCGCAGGTTCGTTTGGAGGAGAGCCGCCAAACACGAAAAGTTCCAAGCAGAGCTTTGTGCTTTAGGGCTTTCGCCCAGCAGCTGGTCACTGCACTGTTGTCAGTTTTGGGCTTGTGACAGATCTCGGCAGCCTATGCCCAACAGGGTCTTTGAGGCTAAGTTAAAGCGCGACATGCTTTTTGCGACCAACAATGATAATGGTCTGCTTGGGTGAGGAGTGGAGGATGCCCGTGAAGTGAAATGGAACATAGCAATATATAACATATATGCTATTATATATATATGTGTATATATTGATACAGAGTATTGAAAGAGAAAGTCTCAATATAGTATGGTGCCCCTACGTGCGGCGAACATAGCAGCAGATACACCGGGCACAGCCGGTGGGAACAGGGAGAAGGCCTCCGTGCGGGCAATGCTGGGCTTGGACAGGCCGGCCGATCAGTGGCGTGTCAATTAATGCTTGCAGAGGCGTGAGGACGCCTGCGGCAGGAATAGACCACTTCGTTTTTCCGTGCCACATGCTCCTGCCATTCCCCCACGCACTTCTGCTAGGGGAGCGGCGCCGGGGCTCATGACTTGGTGTGGCTGTGGCATGCAGTTTCTTGCAGGTTGGGATGAAGAAGCAGGAGTGCGAGTTCTGGGTTTTCTTCGAGAGGGGGTGAACTAGACAAGAAACATTGCATGAGTTGTGGAATTCCTTTTAATTGAGTTGGAAGCTTCTTGGCGACAGTCGTTCCAAAAAGGGGTCTGAAACTGGTCTGAAAAGAAAAGAGTTCACTTTGTGGGAGCCATATACTGTGTGTAGTAGTGAGTGCGCCAGCCATTGGACCACAAAGATTGCAGCCACTTACTGCAATGCAACCTCTCCCCATGGCTGGAAGGTGTCGCCCACTCTTCAAGCGACTCATCATCTTTTGTGATTGTCAGACCGCCTTAGCTCACTTCACCCTGATCTGGCCACTTCGTGGCCCCGGCGTTCGAAGCACTAGGTGCGATGGCTGCTTCCCACCGTGCTTCCTCCAAGCGCAGCGGCTTTTGCCGGGGGCCGGCAGTGCAGAGCATTTGTTTGGAGCAGCAGGACATTCGGAGGTGTGCAGAGCTGAAGACATTGGCAGACAAGAAGCCAGTCTACTTTTTGCTAGTGAACTAGCCTTTAATTCCTTTATTGGGAATCGCATCACAGGGAATCGTTTCACTTATAGGGTCAAGAAGATCAAGAAGCATTATAGTATTCTTTTTAACAGTCAATTTTTTGTCCTTTGGCAAGGAGAGTGCTATTCGGGGAACTATCGTTTGTTATTCTTTTCATTATTATGATGAGATAACTATCTCATTTGTTGAAGAACATGAAGTTTCAACTGCGTCCTCCAAGTCCTCCAAAGGCTACGCCAGCAACTCCTTGCCCCACGGATTTGAGGGATGAAAGGAAGAGCGAAGAGCAGGGACAAAGAGAAGGGCCAAAGGGGAAGGCTCTAGCAGACTTTAGCATGTGTTCTGCACAAGAGTGTGCAATGTTCCATTGTTCCTGTTGAGGGTTTCTGCCAGCTTGGAAGTCCAAAGGGCACAAGGGTGCAGAAGGCTAACCAATTTTGATTTGAGGTTCCTTGTTTGGTGTAGCGGGGAACTTTGACGGACTTCCCCATACCTCCTCAAAACAACAAAACCTACGAGGGCCTATGATACTTCAGAGCTTCATTTAGTTTCCCTTCTTCTCAACAACTGTTTTGAGCGCAACAAGTTCCAAGGAAGTCGTTAGTGGGCTTCCGTTTAGAGCGCTGGTCGCTTTGAGATCCTGGTGTAGGTTTCTCATGCGCCCAAATTTTTCAAGCCCCACTCATCCAATGACTGAGCTGAGCAGCTTCTATCAGCCTAGCATTCCGCAACCAAAAGAACCACTCATTTGTTTTAAACCTTGGTCCAAACAGACAGACGCTGAGCCAACCACAGCAACTAAATCCCAGGTCGCACCCGATCCCA